ATGTTCTGTGGGAACACCAGATGGGAGAGGAGATCCATCCCAAGAAGCCCCCCCCACCCCACCCCGCCCATCTACAGGAGTCAAATAACTCCACCCCGGTAGGCCTGCTGCCCCAGGAACAATCCTAGCCAGCCAACCAGCCCAACTCAAGTGGGAGAGGAACAGGCAGGGAAAAAGTTGGCATGTTGTCCCCAAGGTGCTTTTTCCCCAAAAGCAGCTGGACTTTCTTGGTTTTCTTCTTTGAAAATGTTTAGCTTCAGAACTGAAAAAGCTTCTTGGATGAAAAGCTAAATGCTTTCAAAGAAAAAAACCAAGAAAGTCCAAGTGCCTTTTTGAAAAAGCACTTTTGGGACAACCAGGAGGATTGAGAAGGTCCTTAGACAAGTGGGCTGGTTCTTGGCAGAACTCGTGGCATCTCTGAAGTGGCCGAGCCCAATGCATGGCAAAGAGACTTGCTGTCCTTATGTGCCCTGGAGAGAAGTCCGTTCCTTCTTCCCTGCGACAGCCCTTCCAATCGCTTGGGATGCCTCTGTGCTTTCACTCAGCTGGCACCCATTTCCTCTTCTTGGGGTTTCACCTCCAAGCTGGTCACTTGTTCCAGTTTCTCAGCATCCATCTTGCAAGCCAAACCGGACACAATAGCCAACATAGATATCACTTTCTGTGAACTTGACACTGTCTCTCTGTTGCTGCATCCAAACCTGCATTGGCTCTTTTGCTGCGACAACACACCACCGCTATTAGGACACCCAGGGCTCTCACAGGTAACACCGCCAATGTCCCAATTGTTTTTGTTATCTGTGCATCCAGAGTTTTCTATCCTACACGGGGCCCAGAAGAGAAATTCACAGAATGCCAGTGCATAGTTTCCTCCACATGGAAACAATGGTAAAGGACCACATGTTGACCATGGTGTTCAGCCCAACTGTAAATTTATCGGGTGGTGAGACCATTCATCCCATATTATTCCACTTTATCAAGATGAAGGCTGTGGTCTACTTTATCAGATGCCTTACTGAAACCCATCCTCAGTATTCTCTTGGTCTGCTAAACCAGTCACACTGTCAGAGAAAGCAATGATGTTTTTTTAAAGAATTCCAATAATGACACCAGCCAGTTCCTTTAACTCCATTTGGTCAGCAGGATTTGATTCAGGACAGCTAAGCGTTCTCTCACTTCCTCAACAATATTGACTTCGATTTCTCTTTTGCAACCCCCTCCCCGAGTTCATGCTGGTGTAATTATTTTTAAATTCAAGAGGTCTTCCGATTATCTGCTTTTGCTAGTCTGCTCTCTGCTCTCCATTTTTTAACTTATCCCTTTTGTTTCTGTTTCTTAGTGAATTCTTTACAAACAATAATGCCAGTTTCATCAGCTGTCTCCCATTTTTTCTCTTTGATATTATTTGGATCTTAATTTTTATCTTATTTTTTAGAATTTCCAACCCTGCTGAACTATTTATCACTTCAAAGTTTCCATCCATGAAATCCTTCCTACTGTTTTTCATTTACCACTAACCTGACTACCTTTCAGTGTTCTCACTGCTTGCAATATGTTGAATTCTAAAATTACATAAAATAACGTAGAAACACAGAGTTGGAAGTCTTCTAGTCTGACCTCTGCTCCAAGGATATCATTTCAGGCAAATCTCTTCTTGCAACCCTCCAGTGTTAGAGCATCCACAACTTCTGGAGGCAAGTTGTTCCACTGATTAATTGTTCTCCCTGTCAGGAAATGTCTCCTTAGTTCTAGGCTGGATCTCTCCCTGATAATTTTCCATCCATTGCTTCTTCTCCTGCACTCGGGTGCTTTGGAGAATAGCTCGACCTCCTCTTCTCTGTGACATCCCTCAAATATTGGAACACTGCTATCAAGTCAGCCCTCTTTGTAAGCCGAGACATGTGGCTGGGAAAACAGCTGTAGCAATGTGGTGGCACACTGTGGTCCATTTTAAGGTCCTAATTTCATGGCAGCAAGGATGGTAGAGGAGCCATTTTCTTCTCCACCCCTTTAACATCTCAGCAGGCAGGTCAGAGCTTCTCTGGATACAGCAGTAAATCATTCTAGGAACATAAAACACACATTGTGTGACTCAAGGGGGAGGCTCTGATAAATTGCTTTTATTGTAGATGTAAATCAGCTGATGATAAGATCAGCTACCACAGAATATACTAATCTCATCCTATTTATGTGTCATCTCCAGGGCTTCCACCCATGCGTATTTCCTGTTCTTACATAGCAAGTCGTAAGAAATTGCGGCCTACATTTTGGATGCGTCTGCAGCATTTTGATTGTAGTCTTGAGGGCTCCAGCCTTCACCATTAGTGGTGGACCTTCTTTGAGTAGTCGGGAACTGCCTTTATCTGGAGACAGTTTGGGTGAACCCTTTGTTCATTTTGACTTGAATTCTAGACTGAGCCAGCTTGGATCATGTTTCAGCCTTTTCAAAAAGGCTTGTTTGACTTCTACAGTCAGTGGCACCTGACAATCTTCGGAAAGGCAAAACTTGGGTTGTGGAGCCCTCTGCTCCCAAACTTCTCTATGTGGTCAGAGCCAGGGAGTTTCCATGGCTTTTCCTAGAATAGGTTGCTCCACAGGCTTCAATGAGAATGGTGAAGTCGACCTTAAAGAACTGTATTGTGCAGATTTGGAATAGTTAGCGGTAAAAGGAAATCAGCCGCCGAAGAACATGGTGGCTGGACACTATCAAAGCTGACACCGGCCAGAGCACAGAACAACTCCAAGAAGCAGGGCAAGGTGGGAAGATGTGCAGATACTGGGCCCATAGAATTGCCAAGAGTCGGACATGACTGAATGGATAACGTCATCATCATTATGCAGATGGCACTGAGCCAGCACCCAATGTTCCGTTCTTAAGGAGAAGTACATCAATCCTCTTTCCCTCCAAGATGACACAGAGTCTACTACCTAAATTTCTGTGGAAATGGCGCTATTAGCCCTGAGAATTTTCAGCACATACTTATCACCGCATTATTCTGGACCACCTGGACAAGAAGTGCGCAGATGGTCCTGTTTTGTGGCCATTCCAAGAGGAAGACTGGTTGTCCTCTGGCATCTTAGACTGTTGTTTCACCTCCCACATTGTTATAAGAAACCACTGGAGAGATGTAGCTACCTCAGAAAGTTGCTTCTCAGACTTCAAAGGGGCCAGATAGAAGAAGCTACAAACCCCCATTACTAGCTAGTAACAAGGTAAACTTTCAAATGCTGGTTAAGATCTACAAACTAGAAAGCAGTTTGGGGATCCATGAGCAGAAGAGCCCCCATTTCTTGCAAGTGCTGGATTTTCTGGGGAAACCCTTCTCTGTGATGTGATGTGCAATTGGTGAAACTCGGAGCCTTCTCGTTGCCCACTCTTGCTGGAGCTTCTTCCAGGGTAACTTTCCCGGCCCTGGCATCAGGCCCCCTTCAGGGAGGAGCCTCCTCACGCAAGTTGTTTGGTCCTAACAACTGACAACAGGCCAACACTTTTATTTATTGAATGTTGATTTTAAGCATTCCCTTAAAGGAAAGAATAGACGTCAGTGATGACGTGACGATAAAGATCTCCCCTTCGGGCTATTTGGCACAGCAGTTGGAGTGTTTACTCCAGGACTCATTGGACTCAGACTCCACCTCAAACTACGGATGAAATTAGGGAACATTTCTTTGCAGAAAATTGTTTCTGTCTGATGTCGGTAGCAGGAGATACAACATTTCATAAGCAGCACCCCTTCTCTGAAGCTTCCAACACAGCCAAGTGGCATTTTAGGCCAGGGGGGTAACTTTGGCTTCCACTTTGCTGAAATACTCAGGTTGGGCTGGGCAGCTGCCAAGGGTCTATCAATGCCAGATGCCACCGGGGCAGGAGGCGCAAAGATTACTATCAAGGGGCTGTGTGGGGAGAAAGCATAGAAGTTGATCGGCTTGACAAGGTGCAAGTGGTCCTCTCCCCATCTTGGCTATCCAGAGGAACCGGCTCCATGAAGGCTGGAGAGGAGGGGGAAGAGGCAAGATCCAGTTGGGGAGGGGAGCGCAGGTGCCAGGGGTGATCTCAGGCTGTCATGTTGTGCAATTGTCACTGGATCATCCTTCTGCAATATTTTAATATTTACCTGTTAATGACTATCCCAGGATGTTCTTCTCTGGACAGATCTAACTAGAGAGCAGAGCACAGGCTGCGTTTCCCCCTCGTGCCTCTTCGTTCACAGCACGGAGGAGGAGGAGGCCAGCGGGGATCGCTCCCCTGGGAGCTGAGCTGCCTGTGTCTTGGGAGGCCCGGAGCCCTGGTCGTGGGAAGGCCGCAGCTGTGCAGGAGGGGCCAAGAGTGCAGCTGCGGGACAAAGGGGTCCCTCCAGCCCCCCAACCCGGCTCAGATCGGACTGGGAATGCTGGAGGGGGGAAAAGATTTGGAGGGCAGCCCACCGGAGGCCCCGTGCCAAGGCTGGGGAAGAAGCGCCGCAAGACACCCGGCGGGGACGCAGGGAAGGCATCCCCAGGGGGCCTAAGCCACCAGCCTCCTTCGCCCCTCCCCCCGCGCCTCACTTCAGGCCGCTCGGCCCGGCGGGGGGGGGGCGGGGGGGGGGGACGGGGCCCCCTTCAGCAACTCCCCCGCCGCCCGCAAGGGCTGCAGAGGAGGCGAAGGCCCCGCTGGCTCGGCCGGCCCTCCCGCGCTCCTTGCGGCTCCTGAGGCGCAGCGCTTCCCGGGCGGCGGGGGGCTCCGGAGGGCGGCGGCGGCGGAGCCCGGGCCCCTCGGCGTCCCCCACCCAGAGCGGCCTCCGGCTTCTCCCATTGGCAGCAGGGCGGGACAGCTCCGCCCTCCGCCCCTTTTTGACAACTCCGGGGCCGCTTCCCTCCTCACTCCGTCGGCCGAGGCGCGCTCGGGACAGCCCGGCGCGGCCGCCGCCTGCCTTTTGTTCGCCGCCGCCCGAGCCTCTGCCTTGTCGCGCAGCCCCGGCCTCCCGCTCCCTCCCCCCGGCCGGCTCCCCGCCCTGCCCCGCATGGAGCTGGGCTGGGCGTGCAGCCTCTCGGTGTGGCTGCTCTTCCTGGGCAGCCTGGCGCTGCGGCTCCTCCGCTCCGACCTGTTGCTCAGCCGGCTGCTGCTGCTGCGCGTCGGGCTGCTGGCCGTCCTGCAGGCGCTGGGCCAGGCCGTCCTGCCGCCGCCCCTCAGCGCCGCCCTCACGGGGGCTGCCTGCTGGCTCGTCTCGGCCAGCACCGCCCGGCGGAAGCGGATCCCCACGCGGGGGAAAGCGGTGGTGGTGACAGGTGAGTCCGGCGCGCCCGAGGCGGACCCTTCGGGGCAAGAGCCGGGGGGCGGGCTCGGCTGCGCGCTCGGAATGCGCGGGGCGGCCCGGCCAGGGCGCGGGGGTGGGAGCAGGGGGCCCCGGGCCCTTTCCCTCCTTCACGCTCCCCGGGGCCGGCCGCAGCGGGAGCCAGCCTGGTCTCCGCGCTCTCCGGAACGGGAAGGAGGATGCTGGCACCGGCGAGACGCGCTCGCTGCCCAGAAAGGCGCGCTTCTCTCCTGCCGGCCCAGACGGGGCCCCGAGAGCAGCGGGGAGCTGCAGGCAAGACCCGGCGCCCCAGACCCGGCGCCCCTTCCGACGGGTAGCTCGCCCGCCCCGCGCTGGCTCGCCCCTCGGTCCGGCGGGGTTGCAACGCGGCCCTCCGGCCCCGGCTCCCTGCCGGCCTCGCGGAGAGACGGCGCTTCCGAGCCTCCTGCCGGGCGGACGGCGGAGACGAGGGCGGAGGGCAGCGCCGCCCCACTCGGAGCCCCCGGCCACGCGCTGAGGGTCTGGCGGGGCCCGAGGGGGCCTCGCCCCAGGAGATCGGGTCAGGCGCCGCCGCGGCGGAGCAGCAGCCGGGACGTGGCCGGGGGAAGCCGGATCCTGCGCGGCTCCTTCGGGCGCGCCCCGGGGCCAGGCTGGACGAACGCGGGAGCGAGGAACGGCCGGCCGGCTCGGAGGCTCCACGAAGGCCCAGAAGCCGGCTGGAGGAGGCGCAGCGCCCGGGCTGCCCTGGCGGCGGATGCGCGCGAGTCTCTGGGGCTGGAAGCAGCCGCGGAGTCCTTTCCAGGAGGGCGGCCCGGCCCAGCTTTCGCGAGCAGAGGCTGCCTTAAGGGCCCTCGGGGGGCGGGCGGGGGGAACCGGCGGCTGATGCTGCGGGGCTGCCTTGACTTCCCCAGTGAGGATCCACCCACCTGGGCTGGAAGGGACCGTCGGGAGCCGATGGGTCAGGCTTGGCTTGGCAGGGCCTTTTCCTCTCTGCCTGGTGACATGCCTGGCGTTGCCCCTTCTTGGCCCCCTCAAACGGGCCTCTCCTCCCGGAAACCGGCCTGGAACAGGCACCACCCAAGGAGGGACCCCGGCTTGACCTCCCTGGGGCGTGGGGGTTGGGGGGGGCAGGTGGTTTTGGTGGTGGCATCAGCCGGTGGGGGACCCCAGTCTCAGGGGCAGCCTTTCTGAATGAGAACAAGGCTGGGGTGGTGACCAAGCTGAGGAACAGTTTGGTTGGTGGGAAAATTACAGTTACTAACTCTGCTGAAAAATTACTACCAACTCTGTAAAAAAATGTGGGTTAGACTGGGGGTCGCCAACCTTTTGGACCTCAGGGACCACCAAACTCATAATTTTAAATCCTGCAGACCGGAGATCCTGGGAAAGTCCCCAAAAAAGTCTTCAGGAAAATTCTCCACCCCATTTTCCTACCAATCAATTGTTCTTTATTTGGGATCGCAGGATACCGTCTCCAGCTCCAGTACTCTTCAACATCTTCATCAATGATTTGGATGAGGGGATAGATGAGGAACTCATCAAATTTGCAGATGAAAGCAAGCTGGCAGGAATAGCCAAATACTCCAGACCAGTGGTCGCCAACCAGTGGGCCGGGGACCATTGGTGGTTCACGAGAAAATTTTGGTGGTCCGCAGAGAAATGTCACCCCCAACAAAGCAATTAATCCAGGCTGCGTGGGAACACAAGGCTGCGCCACCCACATGGCCTGCAGGAACTCAAGGCTTGCGTCGCTTGCATTGCAAGCAACATGAGGCAGTGAGGGGAGGGAGGGGGAAAAGGGTGGAGGGGGGAACTTGCCCCACTCACCCCACGTGCCTGGCCTGGCCACCGGGCTGCTTCTTTCCACTTCTTTCTTCTTCTGCTTTTGGCTGCATGCAAGGAAAGCAGCAAAAGTCTCTCTTTCTCTCCCCCAAACTCCACCAGAAATGAGTCTTTGGGACCCTGCAAGGCCTCCTGCTCCAAGAGGCTGCACCAGCACGGCAAGTCTCACAAAAACTTATTTCTGGCTGAGTTTGGGAAAGAAAGAAAGGCTTCTGCTGCTTCTGCTGCTTTCCTTGCATGAAGCCCAAAGTCTCTCTCTCTCTCTCTCTCTCCCCCTGAGAACAGAACTGGAGATGGTATCCTGTGATCCCAAATAAAAAATGATTGATCGGTAGGAAAATGGGGTGAGGAATTTTCCTGCAGACTTTTTGGGGGGTTTTCCCAGGTTTTCTGGGCCGTGGGAGTTTGGTGGTCCCTGAGGTCCGAAAGGTCTCCAGACGATAGGCTTAAGATACAGAAGGATCTTAACCAACTTGAACATTGAAATTCAATGGGAAAAAAGGTAAGATTCTATATTTAGGCAAGAAAAACCAAATGCACAGGTATAGCATAGGTGGTACCTGTACAATAGTACTGAGTGTGAGAGGGATTTTGGAGTCCAAGACAACCACTTAAATATGAGCCAGCCATGTGTTGCAACTGCCCAAAAGGCCAATGCAATCCTAGGCTGCATTAACAGAGGGATAGAATCAAGATCAGACGAAGTGTTAGTACTTTCTAAGGCCATACCTGGAAATACTGCATCCAGTTCTGGTCACCACAGTGTAAAAAGGATGCTGAGGCCTTTTAGAAAGAGTACAGAGAAGGGCAACAAAGATGATTAGGGGACTGGAGGCTAAAACCTATAAAGAGTGATTGCCGGAAAGGGCTTAATTCTAGCTGAATGAAAAAGAAGGACTGGGAGGACGTGATAACAGTCTTCCAGTACTTGAGGGGCAGCCACAAAAGAGAGGGAGTCAACCTATTTTCCAAAGCACCTGAAGGCAGGACTGGAAGCAATGGACGGAACCTCTTGAAGGAGAGAAACAACCTAGAATTAAGGAGAAATTTCCTGACAGAACAGTTAGAAAAAGAAATTAGTGGAACAACTTGAGTTCAGAAGTTGTGACTGCTCCAACACTGGAAGATTTTAAGAAGAGATTGGACAACCTATTGTCTGAAACGATATAGTGTTTCCTGCCTGAGGATCTCCAAGGCCCCTTCCAACTCTCTTATTCTGTTATTCTCTTCTATTATTCTGCACTTAGAGTGGGAAGTTTCTGGTGCAAAGACCGTCAAAAGGAAAATGTGGAATACTTTTCAAGGCGATGCACTGCCAGCCAACGTACTACTCTTCCTGTGTTTTCTGATGGGGTCATTTGGGGGTTTTTGAACTGTATCTTAGAGCCGTGCGTTAGTCTGGAAGCTAATAAGCTTGCTTGGTTTGAAAGCCTTGGGTCAGCGGTCGGTTGGACCGCAGGGAGCATCCAAAGGACACTTCTCTGGTGCTGTTTGCGGCTGGGTTCAGGAGAGGCTCCGCCCAAGCCAGACCATTTCTCAGCTGGGAGAGATGCTCGGAGGGGGCCGTTCGCTGATCTTCGCTTTTACAGCCATCCAGCTCTGGTTTTCCCGTGAAAAAAGCAAGTTGAGCTCTAAGGAGACACATCTGGCCCTGCGGTACATTAGCTGCTTCTGGTACAATCTGTTGCACAGCCTGTTCCCAGGTCAAATGGCCCAGGCTCCAAATACGCCCAAGTGCTACTGCAGACTCTTTTAGGGATTCTGGCAGGGTCTTCGTCTCCAGGAACAGCTTCTGGCCAACTGGGTGAAGCCCATTTGCTTGGGGCTGCTGCTTTAGCTGCGCTGCTCCAAGTCGTAGCACTTGCCAAGGACTGGATTACATTTGGTTTTAATTAAGAATAGAAATCTGTAGGCCTCAGGTTTGCAACCATTAGCTAGTCTCTACTTAGATCAGATTCTAATGTGATTGTTGGAGTGGGAGGAGGGAATAGATTGGATTCCTTTGGTTAATAAGGAAATGATTGGGCTAGTGTTATGTGTGCCTTGAACTCTCAAATCTTTCACGATTGTCATTCTCTGGATTGTTTTGTTGGTGGGTGCAGGGTTGGGATGGTTCCAGAAATTCAGTCACAGAAATTGGGGTCCTGCTTGAAAAAGAATTATTCAAATAAAGGAACCCTGGATTTAAGCTCAGGGAAGCCCTGGTTGGAGCCTTCCAGGTGGATGGCTGCTCAGCCTTGCTTGGGCCAAGAGAATCGCGTGTGACCGTGACTTACGATGGTTTTTGCTGGAAACTGGCCTTTGCTTCTGGCTTCCAGGCAAAAGCAGCCATTGTGACCAGTGGGTTTGCTTTGCGGCCACGATGCAGGATTCGCTTAACAACCACTGCAAAAGACGTCACCAAATCGGGCCAGTCACCTGGGTACCTCGACTTATAGAGGATTATGTGCTGCAACAATTATTTCCTGTGATTTGGAAATTACACTTCAGTTCATGTAGCCTAAAATTGTATTTTTTTAAAAATCACATCCCTAGGCTGGCTCATTTTCAGCAATTAACTACAATTCCAACATGATTTTCACAAATATTATGATCTGCCTAGTAGAGAAACCCAGCTTCCCTTCCGTAAACATCAGTTACTTCCTGTTGAAAGGTTGCCCTGCAGTTCTATCTGCTTATAGCTGGTAAGACAGTTATCGAAGGTCTCTGATGGAGGAATCACGCTGTCATCACAGCTGCAGATGACTCCTCTTACTGCCAGTTTTGGTGAACTTTAAAAGAGTTTATTTATTTTATTAAATTTTTATGCCACCCATCTTCCCTATAGGGATACTCTGGGTGATTTACAGATTATAATTATTATTTTTGCTGTGACAGATTAGCAATAATGTACCAATAATCTACAGGTTCTTATTGCTGCTGGCCGTGGGCATAGCAATCCCCGAATCAGGAGGTGTTACCTATTGCTTAGGGATGCTTCCGGTCCTTGATATTTGGAGGATATTTTGGAATTGCCAGATTGAACTTTCCTAGTTAAAGGGACATGATCAAGACTGAAGGATTGCCCACGTCCTTGTGGGGAACAGAATCAAACTTAAAAATCATAGAATCAGAGGCCTGGAAGGGACTTTGGAGGTCTTCTAGTCCAACCCT